GAACTTATCTATATATATTGTCACAGATCTGATGTTTTTCGGGGAGTACGTGGTGTTACACAATCATCAATATCAAATAGCAACATTTCCTGCTTCACATACTCAATACATTCGTCTTTGTCTAGTAGATAAATGTTTCATCCTTCGTGTTTTAGGATTAAAAAGTGTTCCCATAAGTAGAATAGGATCAAATTGAATTTTTTCTTTCATGATTTGTTTCGCTCTTGTATAAAAATATGAAGAACCCGTATAAAACAATATTTAAGCATAACAGTATCAAAAATACGCTTCAAGTAGATACCTTTGTCTTGTTTTCCATGGGGAAGTTTATTTTCCAATGAAGAATTAATGAAGCATATACTTGGTGTTACTGTATGTATTGATGGTATTTTGGACGATTGCACTCGCGTCATAACATATTCCCAGGGTTTTGAAAAATTCAATTATTTTTTCTAATGTAACTGAAGTTATTTGATTGATTTTTTTTTTGTTCAGTTTTTTGTCGTTGAATATTTCTTCAAGTACAACTAAAGATTTATGCACACTTTGTAAACAGTTTATAAGCGATAACCATCGTACTATTGTGCATTGTAAAAGTATGAGAGCTTTTCGATCTTCAAGTTCTTGGTTCAGATTCATCTGTTAAAAAAGGAAACAGTGAGGCCTTTTGAAAAAATTATCTAGATACTCTAAATGGTCAGATTAAGCAGCAAACACTACCGAATACTAAAATTACCTTTTTCACATACTGAACAAGTTCTTTACATTCAATAATAGTAATCAAAATTCGTTTCGCATCGGATGGTATCTGTGCGATAATAGAAAGAATTTTATTTTTATTCGATTTTGTTGATGTGGATTTGACAGATGATTTTTGTTTATCATTTGTCTGATCATCCGCAACGACACCATCATTTGTTTCATCATCGGTACCACTACCAATCTCATCTTCACCATACGAATTTTCTTTAAAATCATCGGGAAATAATATATGTTTTTTTACTTTCATTATTTCTGTTTGAAAAAAAATGGATTGCAGACAATTGTTCAATCGATGAGCGATGCAACGAACAACAGTAAATTTCTCTAAAGAAAAAGATAATATCTTTTTCTTTCAAACGAACTAAGAAGATATCTGTTCTTATGTTGATACAACTGCTTCTTTAGAGCCCATTCCACTTCTGGCATGTATTCGCTTGAATTGATTATGTATATCGGTTATACTTGAACGGAATATATAAGCAGTATCAGTATCTTCTGTATAAAATGCATTATTTATTAACCGCAATAGAAATATCCCGCACGTTTGGCATTCAATGATTCAATGGCATTATTAGAACAATATTTTTTCTGATAAAGGTCAATGTTTCTCTGTTCACAGGCATTGTTTTAAAATGTGGTCGATACCACTCTGTCGTATTCATTAGAAAATTTGGTGCTTGCTCCACGCTGAATCAAATTGGATAAAAATTGGGCGCTAAATGCAAAATTTGTCGATGAATCCGACAGCGGGTTCCTTATAATTATATCTTCACTTCTTTTTTGGCGTCGACATAATCAACATGGTTTTTGCCTAAATTGTATCATACATATAATTTCAATAAGTAATTGATGTTTCAAAAACGACATGAAATCATTATCAAATTCTAAATTGTCCTTTGTACATGTTCGAATTAAATATACTAATCGGAGATATAGCTTGATTGAACTTGACTGAAGGTATAGTTGTTGATCATTTTATTAACCGTTTCATCGTACAAATTTTTATCTTCAATTAATTTCTCGAATAATAAATGATCGTCTATAAATATTCAACGTACTTTTGCAAAATTTCCTGTCCATTTATCGAGTTCATCAGATCTGTGACAATATATATAGATAAGTTCGATTCTCAATTCTTTGTGTAGAAATGGTACAAAAAGTTTGCCCGACGAACTACAGACAATAAGGACAGGTTTTCCAAATTCATAGAATTAATGTATGAACAGCATGGGAAAGGATCGTCAAACATTTTTGAAATAATTAAAAACAGAATAGAAAAAATGCATTTTTTCAGCAACCAAACGAAATTTTAAACAGAGAGCTTTACACTTTTGTTTCCCGTGAGAAGGTGAATCGAATGTGGTGTAAATCAGGTTCCATCTCTTACAAAAAAAAAATAGATAGGTTTACAAAATCTGTTAGTGCCTTTAAAGTATCCGTGACTCTTAATTTCTAACTTGACAATATTCTACAGGATCGAATTCTAAATGATACTGAATTTGATGTAGTTTTGTTTTCTGAGTCCAAATATATTGTTAGTTTTGTATAAAAACGAAAATTGAGTTTAAAAAGATTGATAAAACCTTCTAATTATATGCCATTGTTTATAATGTTCAAATCAAACTTTTTTCAGCTCAAATATTTTCCTAGAATCATTTCGTAGTTGTTCTGCTTTCATCAACAGCAAGTTATTCCGAAAATAAAAGGTATCCCATCCGAAAATTGAGATATCCCTTAATCCGGGAGCGGTTAATTACTTTCTATATATAGCATTTTTTAGAGATGCTGCCATTTTCCAAGCTTTGGCTTTATAATTCCTCACTGGGAGGAGATTTGAACATAGGGAATTCAAGATTTTGTAGAGCATTGCGAGCACTATATAGCTCTATTTGAATGAGCAGCGTACATCTTTTAGATATTTTTTGGCAGAGCACTTTATGAGAGCTGCTATTCATAATGTTCGATGATATTCACCTAGCACATTTTCTGTATCCGGAAAGAATTCGGAAGTACATAAAAAAAATCGGTCGATAAATTCTCTACGATACTCTGATGCAGCGGACTTGAAAATCGAAAGTTAACGCTGCAGCCTTTTATGTCGATCCATTGAGTAAAACGACGGTTATTCACGATACTAAAAAGCTTTTTTTTTGTTTCGGCAAAAAATGAGCCTAGAAAGTGAAAAATTATGAAGAGGAAAAATTACGTGTTCTGTTGCGATCACATGCCATGTTAGTAAAAGAACAACTTATTATCATCCTTCGAATTATACCTTATGGTGGAAAAAACTGAAGTGTATAGTTGGCGTTGTGTTTGAGAATAACTAATGATAATGCTGGACAAACGCGCCGGATACAATGACAGAGGAATACATAAACAGTATGATTCTCTTTTCTATCCGTTAATTGTATTATAAGTAGCTTTATTTGAATTTAAAGAAAAAGTATTGATCTGTTTGTTTTTCTTATTCTGTACCAAGAATAACATTAGAACACAGACTGGCTGATATCTTCCTTTCACTACCAACACCATCGTGAAAACCACAAATCGGCATTTAGTAATTGATTAGTATTTAGTTCTGAACAACATTGTGTCACAAAAGTTACAAAATTACCCATTGTTCTATCCAATGCCATTACAATATCATCGGGTATATCATTTTTAAATAATCTAAAATTCATCCAGTAATTTCCATTAAAATAATTAGCAATCTTTTCAAATACTGATTCATCAAAATTAATTGCTGAAATTAAAATCGATGAGTTTTATTGACTATTAAAATGTTTAGCAACATTCTGATAAATATTAGTTTATATAAAATGTTTTGAATGGCCATTCCATTTAGCATAAATAAACGCTAAAATACATTTATCCAATCGAAGAACTTCTTTAGAAAAAGTTTCTCTTGTCAGTTTATAAACGTAGTTATTTTCATACAGATAATCATCTTGTGCAAGAAGTTATTAGAGAAAAATGAAGTAAAAAAAAATTTGGTTGACGTTTTACCCATTTACAGCGAATATAACGTAACGACAACGTACAGTTATTTATTTTATTAATATTTTTCGTTCTTTTTTATCTATTGTAGGTTGAAAAAAAATGTTTATTCGGCTATCCCATTAAAAATCAAAAAATGAATTTAAAGCTGTTGAAGTCACACATCAACACCATAAACCTTTCGTTCCCGTGAAAATGAGTGTTAGTTATTCATTACCAGTTGTAACTTGATCAATTGGTAGGGAAGGTATACAGTTTAAGAGTTCAAAACTATTTTTCATTCACATTATTTGCCTAGATGAGGTAAATGAGGTCTGACATTTACAAATAAAAATTCATATTTTTTGTCTGCTAAACAACAAGCTGAAAATCAAGGGAATGAGTGCAGTAGAGGAAAATGGTTGAGTATCGACGCACTAATGGCAAACAAAAGTGTCACAAATGCGTCATTTAACCACTTAATTTCATTTTTCTTAGAAAAATCCTATATCGATTACACGACACGGCCATGGTCTAACGTTGATGTGGGCTCAATTGTTTTGTTGGGACAGACTCTCATGTCCCAACATACATCGCAAAAGAAGTGCATTTAATTAATATCCATTCAAAATGAACTTGAGCGCGGGAAAATCTAATTAGGTAAAAATACATTGCGCACTTCAATACATGCAAAGTTACGTCATTTTTCACTACAGTGTCGTCCTCTATCTTGCTGGTCATTAAATTAAGTGCATTTGACTCTGTTGCGAAACATTGTTTTTCTCATACATTCAAAAAGTTTCTCTCTAGTTCCTACGCCACAAAATTCTGCTCCAGACTCATACTTCGATGAAGAATTCAGGAAAGGAAGTACTTTTTGTGAGCGGCGGTTAGATCATGGTTAGTATTCCCCTAAATCCCCCTATCACAAACTTACGTTTATTTTGTAGTTTTATTTAGCTGCGTAAGCACAAACATTGCTATCTTTTTTTATTGCTACCTAATGTGTTACTAACTAGGCTTTTATCTTCAGGTTTTTGTACACATATTGAAGCGAAGTTTCATGAATAAAAAAAGTTAAAAAGGTCAAGTCATGGGACAAAAACTGTTTTTTTTTGGACTAAAGAAACTTGGCATCGTGCACTATGCAAATGCATTGCACGAAACACTTTGAAAAGTTTTCAGTGTCCTTCATAGACCTTCTATCTTTGCAATTTTTAAGCGCATGATCTCAGAAGTTAAGATATAAATTACAAAAATTTGTGAAGGTGCAATATCATGAAAAGTAGACAAATTTATTCAAATTACATAAATATTGTATTACTCTATCGATTTCTGCTGTTATTAATAATGATAAGACAAGCACTATGGATCTAAAAACTTACTTTTTCATGAATTTTTTTCGAATTAATGAAGAGCACTGAAATATTAAGTTCAATGCAGTAGAATCCACGTTTCTTTAGCTTTAATTTAAAGTATGATCATTAATATTGATTGAGGCAAAGGCAGGTAAAATGCAGTTTTAAAACGATCATTTAAATGACCATCCGATAGGAAAAGAGTTGAATTCAGTCAAGTTGTTATTAATCAAATCGACGATAGCGATTATTTATTTATCGTGAAACATGGTAAAATAATAACATTACATACAGATGGTGTACGTTTAGATTTGAGAAGATTAAAAGTCTCAATTCAAAAATGTTTAGATAATTTAGTTAGAAAATTTTATATAGTTGATAAATTTTGTACTTTGTGGTCAACAAAACATTTTTCATCGTCGTGGTGAAGGTGATGGAATTGCTAATACACAAGGTGTTCGTACATTGCTGACTTTTTTTGGTACTCAGTTTAACAAAGCGTGTGTTGTTGGATCAGATTTTATTGATATACTTTATGATGGTCTTGTTATCATAAATAATTTTTATGATGATAAAATTAAGTATGTTTTGAATTATTAGCAATTAAAAATAAATCTAATTTGTATTTTCACTGATTTTTTTCAGGCCAATAGCACCAGATGCTATTGTTAAACGTGCGAGAGCGGCATTACCACTAGAAGGATACAATGTCATTTACAATAATTGTATGTCAGAGCTTTAAAATGCATTGGATCACATTTGAAGATCGTTTTTTTTTTTGTTATTGCAATTTTAGGTGAACATTTTATAACAGACTGTCGATATGGTCAGCCTAAAAGTCTTCAGGTAAGGCAATAGCAACAATTATTCTACCTTAAGTAAAAATGTGGTTTATTAGGTTCATGATGTTACTATTGGAGTTTTAGTTTCATTCTCACTCATAGCTGGAGCCGTGTTTCTATTGGGATTAGGTATTCGAAAATCCACTAATGATGATAATAAAGAAGGTGATGAACAAAGTAAATAGCGCCAAATAAAAACAATTAAATCATGATCAAATACAAGTCAATATTATTTGTTTATTAATTAATTTATATTTTTTAAATGTTTATGTTTAGTATGTAGACTCTTAAAACATGTTTTCTTAAAAGTTGAGAACTATACTAATTTATTCAAATTCTCATAAAAATAGGACATACTCTCCCAGATGCACGCTATTTAGGAATGTCTTTTTGAAAGGAATTGTAATCAGAGATTTCAATTGTTTGATAATCATCATTCACAGTCAATTATGCAGTAACTGTAGCAACTGCAAATAGATTTTCATTTTCTGTTAGTTCGTATATAACATGTGTTCTTAAAAGTTTATTGTTTTGAATTGATTTCATCAATAAAACTGCGTACGTTTAGACAATAAATACTATCATCGTCATTCTTAGTATTCTTATCTAACAACTCTTTTCAACGTAGCCATCATCGTAAATGAAAGAAACCCTGACTCGATACCACCCGTTCAATATTAACCTATGTAACGCTAATAACGTCCTCTGCCCCATTGCAGACAGAGGTCTTGCGTACAATAAACAGGTGATATGTGGTGAAAGTAAAGAAAAGAGACAAAAGAACAAGAAACAACCTAAATATGAACACTTCTTCTTTTCTATTATATATTTAGTAAGATGCACATTAGAGATATGCAATTCAACCCGATCGGAAGGTTGCGTACGGGTAGACCAGTTACGGATATGGATTGGGTACGGATTCCGTTTTTTTTATTTACCCGAAAATCAAAAGGTTTTAGTCAAAGCACAAAATGTTAATGGAAAAATACAAGATTTTAGCTAAAATACATAAAGTTTTATAAAACTATTACATTTCGAGCCGAAAAACAAAAGTTTTTAGCTGGAAACCGAAAAGGAGAAGTTTTTAGCTGGAAACCGAAAAGGAGAAGTTTTTAGGCATAAGTCGGGTACGGATACAAAGTTGTCGGGTAGCGTACGGGTAGAAAAAAAATTTCGGGTTGGATACGGGCACCAAAACGATACTCGTGCACACTTCTAACGCATATAAACAAGAATACACCTACACATTTTCAATAGCACTATACAAAGTTTCTTCTTTCCTATCATATATTTAGTAAGAGACATATAAACAAGAATGCACTTGGGTATCTACAAAGTTCTCAAAATGACGGTTTAAACATAAGATTTGAAAACTTTTTAGAAAATATGGCGCATTTTCTACTCTTATTCGAATCTTTCAACACAATCTGATCAACTGCAGCAAATACATTTTGCTTCCAAGCATCTGCTAATTTCTCACGCATTGTATGTAATATATTTAAAGCTTACCGTATGTCAGGTCCATAGACTATTACTCTATTGGCTTTCTATTAGCCAATACATTACAAGATAGTTTAGGGTGCAAAGAAATGTTCCAATGTGGTTCTCTAAATGTTGGATCTGACTAAAAAGCTGCCGAAAATTTTCGAAAGATTTTTACAGCAACGTGTACGAGAATATTTGATCTATCACTATTTTCAATAGCTAATTTTTCGAATTAAGAATGGTTAAGAAATCCTGAACATTCGACGAAATTTTGAGAAAGTATTTCATGAATCTTTACATATACAAAAGTAGGTATGTACCGACTCCATTGAATTGGAACTGCTTAGGACGGGAACTGTCAAAAACTGTTGGAAAAAAATTTCGAAATGAATTCAAAAGAAAATTTAAATTCTATTGAAGAAAAGGCAGGTCTATCAGCATATTCCCAAGCAAAAAAATGCCTTTGAGATTATCTAGCTATAAAAATATGTTATCGGGCAATATCGGCTTGTGATAGCTAGCTATCCGTACCACTTTTATTGAGTTAGCTAGCTATATCGAGTATGAT